TTGCCCGGGTGGATGCACAGCACCTCATCATCGCTGGCGATTTCAATGCGCACAACACTGCCTGGCTGGGCAGCAGTAGAACAACTCCAGCTGGGGAGAAACTGGAGGACCTCTGCGCACTACATCACCTCCAGCAGCATGTGATGGAGCCTACTCGTGGAAATGCCCTCCTCGACCTCATCATGAGTGACCTGGGCAACCCGACGGTCCGGCTCGGCCCCCCAATTGGTAGATCTGACCACGCCACCATCTTGGCAGAATTCAAGACAGAACTATGTCGAGAGCCCAAGACGGCCAGAACAGTCTGGCAATATGGCCGCGCTGACTGGGACAGACTAAACCACCACCTTAGGAGTGTGGACTGGGATGCCCTCATGTCTGAGGATGCAAACAGCAGCTGCACCAATATTACCTCTGCCATCATAGATGGAATGAACCAGTTTATCCCATCCCAACTTCTCTGTACTCGGCCCTCTGATCCCGCTTGGTGGACGCCAGCTTGCAGCAAGGCCGTGAAGGCGAAACAGAGTGCCTGGAAGTCCCTCAAGAGACGACCAGACTCGCCCCAATGTCAAGCTAACTATACTCTCGCTGTCCACCGGTCTTCTGATTGCCTACGTGATGCCCAGAATCACCATCTAGCAATAGTCCGTGCACGACTCCAGACCGGCAGCCTTCGAGATAAACAGTGGTGGTCAACCATCAAGCAGTCCATCGGAACCTCCCGAAATAGCTCCATCCCGATTCTTGTCGACCCTGCTGGCAAAGAGCATGCCACGAACATCGAGAAAGCAAACTGCCTCGGTCACTACTTCGCGGAGAAATGTAGCCTTGGTGCCAATGACCTGCCAGACACACCTCTGCCCCCTATTCGCCAACGCACAGGCAATAGGCTGAAGACCGTACACTTCCGCCCTGCCACAGTCCAGCGAGCTCTCAAGAACCTGGACGCTTCAAAAGCAACTGGCCCTGACGGCATTCCGGCGCAAGTGCTCAGGAAGTCAGCGCAGTCACTCGCCAGCCCTCTGGCAAAGCTATTCACCCAGTGCTTCCGGGACGGGGTGCAACCTGCATCCTGGAAGATCGCGAACGTTGTCCCTATTTTCAAGAAAGGCTCCAAGTCTACCCCGAAGAACTACCGTCCGATTTCCCTCCTCTCTATACTCTCTAAGGTGATGGAGGCCATCATCAATCGCAGCATCACTAACTTCCTGGAAAGCAATCAGGTCCTCTCCGGACGGCAATTCGGGTTCCGACGCGGCCTGGGCACGACTGATCTTCTCCTCTCACTTCAGCATGAGTGGAGTCGGACGTCCAATGCTGGGGGTGTGACCCGAGTCCTTGCTGTCGACGTGGCCGGCGCATTTGACAAAGTGTCGCACCGCGGTGTAGTTCACAAGGCCAGATGCCTTGGGCTGACTGGCCACCTGCTCTCATGGTTGAAAAACTACCTAGAGAGCCGCCAGATCCGGGCCGTAGTTGGTGGACAAACATCAGCCACACACGCCATCCGAGCAGGTGTGCCTCAAGGAAGCATCCTGGGGCCCACTCTCTTCTTGATCTACATTAATGACGCTGAGGACCACCTTCCCCAATCGACCAGCCTTGCCACGTACGCAGACGACACAACGCTTTACAAGTGTATCCGGTATCTCGGCAACCTCGCAGCTGACTGTGATGATCTCCAGACCGCCGTCAATGCCCTTGCTGCCTGGGGTGCGACCTGGCGAGTGACATTCGAGCCCGCCAAGTCATACCTACTCCACGTCAGCCACCACCGTCGGCCCTGGGACTGCCCTCCGGTCACATTCCAAGGTGAAATGGTTCCTGAAACCCAGTGCCTGAAGCTACTTGGGATAGCCTTCGACAGTCAACTGACATTCTGCCAGCAGATTCGACAGTCAGCCCTGCGCGCCACACAGCGACTGGGCTTCCTGAAGAAGGCCTCAGCAGTGCTTGACCCTGGCTGCCGTCTCACGGTCTACAACGGCTTTGTTCGCCCAGTCTTAGAGCATGGCATGCTAGTCTGGATGGGTGCTTCTCAGACGGTGCTGGCCCAACTCGATGCTGTACAGCGGAGAGCCCTGCATCTGATCGGCGAAGGCGCATATCTGCCAAGCCTCGAACTCCGGCGCAAAGTGGCTGCTCTCTGCTATCTCTACAAAATCCACTACCTGACAGGCCCACAGATGCTAACCCGAATGCTGCCCCCTCCCAAGCAGGACCAGACCACGACCAACATCCTGCCAACACCAGGCAGCAGGCGCGGGTGGCGGCCGGCCACCGCTACCAGCTGCAGTCTGATATCCCAGCCAATTCTCGCAACAACGTCCGCCGGTCGTTCCCTGAAGGAGTGCTGGACACCTGGAACCAGTTGCCTCGCCAACACCTCCTGGATCAGCCCGACCAGAAGAGGTTGCAGTCCTTCAAGTGCAGCGTCCACCGATTCCTGCGCTCGAGCCACTGGGACTGGGCGACCGACCGGCTGTAGGGACTCGGCGTGGTGGTTTTCTGGACGTTACTGTGAGAGAGCGAGTCTGTGCACAAATATTATGTATGATTACGCGTCTGCGTGAATGTGCACGTGTGTGTCTGTGTGTACGTGTGTGTGTGTGTGTGTGTGTGGTGTGTGTGTGGTGTGGTGTGTGTATGTGTGTGCGTGTGTGTGTGTGTGGTGTGTGTATGTGTGTGTGCGTGTGTGTGTGCGTGCGTGCGAGCATGTGTGTGTGTGCGCGCGCGCGCGTGTGTGTGTGGGGGTGGGTGCACATGGTTGGTATGTGGTGTTTATGTGAGCGTATGATAATAATCTCTTCAATAAAATTAATATCTTTATTTCAAGATTACCCAAGGCCGGTGAACGCCCTATCAGGTTGATCTCCTATTTGAACATGCGCATATGTGTGTGTATGATGTGCCCTAGCTCACTTTTAATTATTATATTATTATTATGTTATACACGTAGATCATGTCCATGATGCCTTTCCTCTGCGCAGGGCCACCGCACTATTGTTTTTAAGATTAACATCATTATTACTTCTGCATATGCATTACATACTATGATCATGCTGGCTTCATCCCTTATCTCCTAAGCTACCCCCCCCCCCCCCCCCCCCCCCGGTGCGTCTGCCCAGTGTTGACTCCGAGACCCACGGTCGGACGAGCTGCCCAGGCCTCACCACCACTGCCGTTTCCGTGCTGCCTTCTCGATACATACGTATGTACACTGTATATCATGTGCACATTCACATGTCTGAAGGTTTGTGGTTTTTCAATAAAAAAAATAAATAAAAAAAAAAATAAAAAAAGAAGGACTGCAGACGTTCAAAGAAAAGGTCAACGCCCACCTGCGCCTTACCCGCTGGGAGTGGGCAACGGACAGGTTATGAATCAAAGAAAAAAGACGAAAAAATCTCTAACTCTGTTCCCTCCTCCATTCACTTCGTTGACTCTCTGATAACTTTTTATTGTGCATACTTTTCCCCGTAATCCCCAGTTATCTACCCCCCCCCCCCCCCTGCGTATTTTCTGTATTATAAATCTTTTGTTTTTGTGGAGCGCTTGGGTTGCAATGAAGCCGAGACCCTATGGTCGGTCAAGCTGCCCCTGCCTCTCCCCCCCCTCCTAGGTCCTGTCATTCCATATGTCTCATCGCTGCCTTGCTGCTTTGTGCCATCAAATGGTTTGTGTTTTTTTTTGTAAAGAAAGGATTGTGCATAAAAGGCTCTGTGTGCTCCTAACCGAACATGACCTCCTTCCTGCCGAGCAATTCGCTTACCGAGCCCACCACTCCACAGAGGACGCAGTCTTGTTGGCTGTGGATCAATTTTACGAAGCCGCAGACCAGCACCTGCATACCGGCGTGGTGCTCATTGATATGAGCAAAGCTTTCGACAAGGTCCAACATCAGACCTTGCTCCAGGATCTCTTCGAACTTACTTGGTGTCTCCTCTACGGCACTGGACTGGTTTGCGGACTACCTCAGCGCACGACGCCAGTGTGTGGTCACTGCCAACGGTACACGCTCAGAGGAAACAGCTTGCACGTGCGGTGTCCCCCAGGGAAGCGTGCTTGGTCCGATATTATTCGCGATCTACACGAGATGTGTCGCATCAGTAGCTGACCAGGTGCGTACACTAATGTTCGCGGACGACATCATGCTGTACCTGAGCCACGCTAGTGCTCACGCCATCAACATCACCCTTT